CGGTGGGGACCGGCAGCTGTTAAAAAGCGGTGTGGGACAGAGGAATACGAAGGGGACAGCAGCGCGTCGCTCGGGCCACTTACTCTTTTCGCAGAAGGGGGGGTCGCTGCTCCAGCTGAGGTCCCACTGGCAGGTGAGGGTGTCGCTCCCCACGATGTCGTAGCCCGGGTCGCACTGGTAGGTGATCTTGGCCCCTCTCACCAGCTCCGTGTGCGACGTGGTCTTCCAGCCGTTCTGGATCTCAGGCAGGTCGGAGCAGGAGTCGTTGCGGGACACCTCTGCAGCCAAGAGAGATGCTGGCTGTCACCCACCGAGCGAGCCCCCGCGGCACAGCCCTCCTCGGACCCACCACACGGGGGGACACAGCTCTCTGCCGAGTCCCTCCCCGAGAGCTCTCCAGCCCCACGCGCCGCAAACAGCACGGCCACGGTGGGCAGCCGGGTCCACGGGTGGCATCCCCTGGGCAGAGGGAAGGGGCAGCGTGGCACCAGTGGGTAGCGGGGGGTCTTTGAAGCCTCCCCAGCCCTGACCCTAAAACCAGGCGGAGGGGCTGTGCTGATGAAAACAGGGCAGTGTCTTTGCTGAGGTCAGGACAAAAGGAGCAACCTGGGAACACCAGGCTGAGCTCTGGCTGCAGGCGCAGGAGAGGAGCGGTGCGGATGCCGTGGTCACAGCACAGCCGGTTGGCTGGGGTGAGGGGTTTCTGCCCTGCTCTCCCCACCTCGTGCCCACCGAGCGCTGTGCCCGTGGCTGAGCCCGGCCGCGTGTGCTGCAGTGCACCAAGGAGGGGACCTGCAGCCTCGCAGGTGATCTGCATTGCAGTTTGCTCTCTGTTTGTCGTAACCAGAGCTGTCAGCAGTGGAAAGAAAACACGCTTGGAAGAAGTCTGGCAGGGGAAGACAGGTTGGAGGAGAGGCAGGCAGCAAGACCGCAGGCAGCCGTGGGGAAGAAGTGCCCTTCCCAGTCCTTGTCCCTTCCTTGGGTATCAGCCGCCCCGGTCTGGCAGACATGGCTGCACCAAAGGATGATGTGAAGAGACGTCTCCAGATGTAGTCGAAGCTCTCTGGAGCAGTAGCTGGGAACATCCATCTCAGGAGCCCACCCAGGGACTGGCCTCAGTGACCTGTCCTAGGAGGACACCTCGCTGCAGTGCCTCAGTGCCATCAGCTTCACGCCTGACAGAGTGTGCGTGTGGGGGGATCCTGCATCCCTGTTTCCAGCAATTTCTTTCCCTGTTCTGCTCCACAGTTGCACTGGGCCAGACCAGGGCTAACAGGGACCAAAACCACCACTGCCTTCCTGCCAGCCTGGAAGGGAGGAGACATATGGGGACACCCCAGAACTGACTGACCCAGAGACCTGCAGTGGGGCTGGGGGTTTCTGCAGGAGCTCGGTGGGATGTGGAGAGGAGCGCTGGTGTCACAGTAGTTCTCCCCACTTCCAAACCCGACACCAGGACAACCTGGTCTGGCCGTGTGTCACAGTCCCCACCTGCGCTGCAGCGGCGGGGGACACAGCCAGCACCCTGCTCTCCCTACCTATGTAGTTCATGATGAATCCTTGCCCTTTCCCAAAGATGAGCCCGGCAGGGTCTGAGTGGAACTGGATGGTGAGGTCAGGGCTGGAGGAGTAGAGCTTCTGGGGACCACTGCTGCCGACGTACTGCCCCAGGATGCGGGCAGTGAGCTCGTCCCCGTCATAAATGGTGAGGATGTCGCTGTTGGTGAGGTTCAGGCTGGTAAAGGAGAGCTTGGTTAGAGTGCAGCTCGGGCAGGGAGCCCAGGCAGGATGCGACGGTATTTGGCTCAAGGAGCGGCGATGTGACCACCAGCCCCAGCGCTGCAGTGCAGTGAACCTGTCGTGTCCTGTCCCCATCC